TCCTAAATTACCTGTCTAAAGATTTTATCCATTTCTTAAATGTCATGCTTTCTCTTATTACTGAGTTATAATGTTTGCTTTTTGATCCAGTCCTAATACAAGTCCTCTATTAGAGTTGCTTTGCAAATATATTCCAGTGTGTACTAATAGATACTAATAGCTTTTTTCTTTCAAATAAAGTGTGAAGAAAATTTCACTCAGCACAATTTCAACCATGCAAAATATGTTGTCATATTTGTCTGTATATAATGTAAATAAATACACATGTGTATGAGTACATGTTTATTTGAAAGTAGAGGTGGCTATGTCAGTACACAGAGTGGGGTTCATGACACAATAAAATGAGGAAGAAGAGTTCCTCTTTTTATGGGGGAGTAATAGTGTGATCATGTATATATACCACATTTTCCTTGTTGATGTGTGTAGCCTGATTCTATGCATTTAATATTATGAATTAAGATGCAATAAACATGGGAGTGCAGGGATCTCTTTCATATATTGAGTTAATTTCCTCAGAATATATTCCCAGAAACGAAAGGTTTTTGAATAATTTTGGTACTGTTTTATATAAAAGCAATGAATTTTATTCTCATCAACAATATATTAGGTTCTTTTTTCTCCACATTCTCAGCAGAACTTTTGATTTTTTTTACTTTTTCTAATAATCTTTCTTATTTTTTATAATTTTTTTAGAAGAACTGACATTTTTATTTTGACAAAATACATGTTACTTTTATAGTTTACATATTTTTGTCCTTTGGCTAGCCTGGGATTATAGCAATATTGTTCTGGAAATTTTCTTATTTTAGCTTTTTAAAGATTTATTTTAGGGGCTGGCATGATAGCATAGCAAGCTAATTCTCCTGCGGTGCTGGCAACCCTTTTGTTTGCCTGTTCTTATCCTGGCTGCTCCACTTCTGCTCCAGCTCCTTGCTATTGGCCTGGGAAAGCAGCGGAGGATGGCCTCAAGGCCTTGGACCTCTGCACCCACCCAGATGAAAATCATGGATCCCTGCCTTCGGTCTGGCTCAGCTTTGGCTGTTGTGGCTATTTTAGGAGTGCACCAACAGATGGAAGATCTCTCTCTCCCCCTCTCTGTAATTTTTCAATAAAAATAAATATTTTAAGAATCTATTTCATTTACTTGAAAGGCATAATTACAAAGAGAAACAGACAGACATAGAGACAGCTCTTCCCTCTACTGGCTCACTGCTCCCCCCTCCCCTCCCCACCAAATGGCCACAGTGGCCGGGGCTGGGTCAGGCTGAAGCCAGGGGTTTTTCCAGGTCTCCCACATGAATGCAGGAGCCCATGCACTTGGGCCATATTCCACTGCCTTCCCAGGCACATTAGCAAAAACAGAAACAAAACAAAAACAAAAAACGAGCTCCAAAGTGGAGCAGGCAGGACTCAAACCAGCACCCATATGGCATAGCAGGCAGTCATAGTCATAGTCATCATGTTTTAACTCATGGTTTAACTCATGATGATGATACCACATGTGAGCCCCATGGTTAGAGCTCTTAGATTTAGGTCTATGGCTATCACTTGATTTCATTTCAACAATATACCTTGGACATTTTGTACACTTTGTACAAGTCTGTTGAGATATGCAACACTCACACACACTAAATGAAGCAATTCGTTACTCCTAGATTAGCAGCAAGGGACAACAGAAACCTAGGGTTCATGGTGAGCCTACCTCCAAAGGTGCAGGGTCATTTTCCAGGGTAAATATGTCTTATTCTGTTAGTGCACAGCCCTACCCAAGGGAGCCTCAAATTATAGTCTGTTCTTGGGCTTTTATGCTCAGGGGAATACATTGCTATGCTAGCAGGGATGAAACAGAGTCTGGGGTCATCCAACCAGTTTCCCCTTTTCTTACAATCTTGCATTGCTGGCACATTCTAGGATTATTACAAGACCTACAAGTAATGGGGGCCTAGGCTATGGGACAGTGTGTTAAGTCATAGCCTGCATCCCACATGTTGGTTCAGGTTTTGGCTGCTTCACTTCTTATCCAGTTCTCAGCTCATATGCCTAGGAAAGCAGGAGAAGATGGTGTAGGTCTCTGGGACCACGTACCCATGTGGGGAACCCAGAAGCTTTGAAGCTCCTGGCTCCTGGCTTCAGGCTGGTCACTGAAGTCATCTAAGGAGTGAACCAGCAGATGGAAGATTCCATTTTCTCTTAAAACGTTGTCTTTGAGATAAACTTTTTTTTTTTTAAGATTTATTTATTTTTGTTGCAAAGTCAGATATACAGAGAGGAGGAGAGACAGAGAGGTAGATCTTCCATCTGATGATTCACTCCCCATGTGGCCACAATGGCTGGTGCTATGCCGATCTAGAGCCAGGAGCCAGGAACTTCCTCCAGGTCTCCCACACGGGTGCAGGATCCCAAGGCTTTGGGCCATCCTCAGCTGCTTTCCCAGGCCACAAGCAGGGAGCTGGATGGGAATTGAAGCTACTGTGATTAGAACCAGCATCCATATGGGATCCCAGAGTGTTCAGGATGAGAACTTTAGCCACTAAGCCACCACGCCAGGCCTGAGATAAATAAACTCTTAAAAAAGAACCACAAGTTAACAGGGATGAAGAAGCCACTAAAATCATGTTTCATTTCAGTACCAGAGTGTACTGCCTATACAGTATATGAGTAAACTTAAAAATTTGTTGAAAATAACATTAATAAAAATTCATTTTGGCACATAGCTTTTTGAAATCTTGGCATATTAGGAGTCTTCTAAAAAGTTTTGATGTGCATTTTGTCATATTTCCATAAAGTTTTAAAAAAAAACTCTTATGCATGGCTTTCAAGATTTTTGTACCAAAGTAAAGTTTTAATTCCATTTCCCCCAAATTTTGTAAGTCTCTCACTATATTTGTGGTATGGCTATACAAAATTTATGTAACCATTGCTAGGACAGCTTCAATTTTCCAGTATCACAGATTGACTTGTAATGAACATCTTTGGATATCTTCAATAGTTCTAGAACTAGAAAATTTAGCTCCAAGGACATTCATCTCTAACCTTTTCATAAGTACTGCCCAATTCACTAGCGTCTTAAACAACGGACTCTCAAGTTATTTTTTAATTTTTTAAAAGCCTGTTAATATGAATGGTGGGAAATTTTGTGGTTAGTTTGCATTTCCTGGTTCTTTACACAGCTTTGCTAACTGTTTGAAAAACTGTGGCAAGTTTATGCAAAATATAAGTGCATTAAGCACATTTACACTGTTGTACAATCATCAGTGATGACTATCTCGAGAAAGTTTTCATTTTACCAAACGGAAACTCTGTACCTATTAAATTCTCATTATGCATTCCCCATCCTCCAAGTCCGTTATAACCACTATTTTGCTTTCGGTCTGTGAGAGTTGGCAGAGTTGGTAAAATCATGTAATATTTGTCCTTCCTGATTGTTTCACTCATCATAGTAATTTTTAAGTTTATCCTTGCTGCAGTAGTACCAAAATTTCATTTTCTATTGCTAAATGATGTTTCATTGTATGTATATACAGCATTTTATGCATTCAATTTTAAGCATTTGGTTATTTCCTTTTGGCCACTGTTAATTATGGTGTCGAAGATATTCATCTATAAGCATCTGATGCTTTCAGGTGTGTTCCCAGGATTAGAATTATTGGATCATATGGTCATCTTTTGGAGAAACTGAAACATGATTTTTCACTGCGATTGCATCCAGTCTGCAGTGTCCAACTGGTCCAGACTAGTGGTATTTTTTACTACGTGTATGTGTACTCTTCATTTTTTCTTCTCTGTCGTATGTGTGTCAGGTTCCCCAGCAGAGTTTCTTTTCTTCTCTCCTTCTGTTGCTTCTCTTTCTTTTCTTCTGTTACTGATTCTCCAGAGGGTGCCTGTATTTTATGGGTGTTAATTATTTTGGTGTGAACTCTTCTGCTCTGTCATTGGTCTTTTTAGCTAATGATATTTGTACTCTGCAGTTCTTTTCAGTCTGTAATACTGTAGGTTTTTGTGGTTATTTATTCTATACTTGACCTTCATCTCTTGTTTTGATGAGATGTTCACTATGTTTAGAGAATCAACCCTCTCACTTCAATTTTGTTATCTCATGGTCCAGTCTGCCTTGACAAAAAATAGGGAACCACATGAGGGACTGTGTTCTGGAGTGGAGAACAAGTGGTTCTCCACTTGGGGTCCATCCTTCCACTGTGGAGGCCATCCTTTCCCCGTGGTTTTGAAATGCTGATTTTATTATATGCTAATTTTCTTATCTACTTTGGATTATTTCATTGGTGCACGCGCACGTGTGTGTGTGTGTTTTCAGTGGATCATTATCCTTTTCATTTACTGCTCCCAGTTAGAAAAACGTAATTCCAATGATGATTATAGGTCTATTTTCAGAATTTTTCAACCATCTGTCCCAACACTTCATCCTTCCTTAACACCTCTGTCTCAACATTTTGAAGGCAGATGTCCAGGGATTGATTTCAAAGGAGAAAGACATTTTCATTCCATAGAAATTGTTCCTACTGTTTGAATACAAAATGTAGGAATACGCTTTCCTTTCACTGACCTTCCTTATGGTTTGCTGGTCCTTGTATTAGATTATTCCTTGCATTGCTGCATTGAACATCTACTTGACTTAGAGTGCTGTGAAAGTAGCATGGTTCCACACACTGCAGTATCTGAGAGTCAATCCCTGCCATTCAATCATGCAGGATTCAAAGAAATCAGAATTAAGGAGTATACTGACCATTTAAATGAGAACAGAAGTCTTTGTTGTTGATTATGTATTTCCACCATGCATTCCCCAAGAGTTACATATATTACACACTTGACCATCCATCTCAGCAATGTCCTTTCATTTTTAAGATACATTAGAGAAGCCTGGAACATTTTCTTAATCTTTCAAAAGTGACATGATAAGTTTATGTAGTTTCTACTAAAACTGTCACAGAATATACTTTTATGTAGGAAAAGTAAACATTTTTGAATGATACTTACCTGAACCACCTTTTCATCTATGCTGCAATGCTTTCTCTGAAGTTTTACAATATATTACCCTCTATTTATTCAACATCGGAGATTTCCTTAAGTTTGTAATTGTTTTCCTCACTAGAAATAATTGAATCTTGACTTGATGACATTATTATTTCTTGTGGAATTCTGAATAGGAAAAACGTGTAGTTTACTTTAAGGGTGATTTTGGACAATGAATGCAGAGTTGATTGCGTTTTCAGACACTTTGATATTTTAGTCTACATTTTTAGCAAACTGTAAAGCAAGTCAATTTTATTGTAGCTATGTTATTTGTGACACATTCCTATTACAGGGATCAGAGTGAAGGATGGCATGATAAGTTTCTTGCTTTGATGTTGAGTCAAAAGTTGCTTCATTTACATTTCAATCTTTTCCATTATCTAGAAACCTGAAATTTAAAAAAATGTGGAATTAACTTTTACACTGTGCTAAAAAATAAAAGCAAAACTTTAGATAAAGCTTTAAGATTTAAAATATTTATATCTGTGTGGTTTAAAAAGAAATTATGATTTTTTTTTTTTAGAAACATCAGTGTTTTGGTGTTATCAGGTGCTGAATGAAATTGTGCTTCTTGTGGTTGGAGACTGAGATTACATTCAGTATCCTGCACAAAGTAGTCATTAGTAGAAAATACCTGCTAAATTCTTCCAAATATTCTGGATTTTGAATTTCACTTGCATCTGTGGATCTTCCAGACTCTCCTAAAGAAAAAAAGATATTGAAATTCAATGACTTCTTGTAGGCACAGGTTACAGAGTCCCATTTCAGGAAGTGTCCTCTCTGTAAATCCCATCTAACCTCATGGCTTTGGGAGACAAGATGACATACTCAACACTCAGAAGGAAAGTTTGTTTAGAGAGCAATGTAAACAATGTAGGGACCCAAATAATGAAGTCAAATGCACGAAGCTTACATATCTAAACAGATGTTAATTTGGTACTTAACATTCATTTCTGAACTTTTAATTTGTGAGTGGGGAGACAAAGCAACTTCCTTTCTCATGGCTCATGGTTCACTATAGAAATACCCTCAAATGAGTGAGGCTGGGCAAGTCAGGAACCAGGTCTTTCACATGCAAGCAAGGACCCAAGGTACTTGGGCCATCCCATTCTCCCTCCAAGGGTATAAATTCACAGAAGCTGGAATTGGGAGTAAGACTGGGATTCAAACCCAGGAACCTTTTTCATGGGTTCCTTAATTGACATCTTTACTGCTAGGATAAGCCCCTGAACTTTGATTTTTACTTGAATTCACCGAGACCAGCAAGATGCTTAGTATTTCCTATTAATAAAGGCCTTAGATTTCAAGCCTACCCTTATAATTTCTTGAGTTCTATTTTTCACAGGTTCTATATATTTCTAGCTCCCGTACACTATGACTTCTGTACCATTTCCACTGTATCCTTTGAAATTGTGGATCTATGGTTGGCGGAATACTCCATTTTCTGAAATTTTCTAAATTTTCTGCTTGTGATGAAAAGTCGTTCTCCTCTGAGGAAACAAACCCAGGGGTCCCGTGTTCCCCTCTACCTTCTAACAACCAGATCTGGAGATGCTAAGAGCACTTTTCTTCTTTCAATAGTTATCTTCCCTGTTTTCCTCCTTAAAAATCATATAATCAGATGATATGATCAATCATTGGTCATTATTGCTTCCTTTGAGTCTGCCGATCCAAAGCCAGGTGCCAGGAGCAAGGAGCAACTTTGGGTTCTTCAGTGTGGTGCAAGATCCCAAGGCTTTGGGCTGTCCTTCACTGCTTTCCCAAGCTACAAGCAGGGAGCTGGATGGAAAGTGGGGCTATAGGGATTAGAACCAGTGCCCATATGGGATCCCGGCACATGAAAGGCAAGGGCTTTAGTCACTAGGCTACTGCACTGGGCCCAAGTATATTATTTTCCATCATTATTTTATTGGTATTTTCTTAATTTACCAGTCTCAGTGTACATGAAGGTCACTACACCCCAGGTCTTCATTTCATGAGTTCCTGTTGCTCTAGATAATTTCCTTTACTCTCAGTCATCCTTTTTTAAAAATAGATTTATTTATTTGTTTTAAAAGTCAGATTTATAGAGAAGACAAACAGAAAGGAAGATCTTCCATCCATTGACTTGCTCCCCAAGCAGTCGTAATGGCCGGAGGCACGCTGATCCAAAGCCAAGAGCCTGTAGTCTCTTCTAGGTCCCCCACACGGGTACAGGCTCCCAAGGCTTTGGACCGTCCTCGACTGCTTTCCCAGGCCACAAGCAGGGAGCTGGATGGGAAGCAGGACTGCCGGGATTAGAACTGACACCCATATAGGATTCTGGCACATGCAAGGCAAGGACCTTAGCCACCAGGCTACTGTGCCGGACCCTCAATCATCCTTTTGCTTCATGAGACATATATTTGTCATTGCCAATAACTGCTGCAAGTGCCCACCATCTATTTCTTGCATTTAGTTTTTTGTCTCATTTTATTTTTTCCAGCTATCTCCCTCTCAGTTCAGCTTTAGCAGTTGTGCCACCTTACTATCCTAGCCTGCCTCCTATCATACCATTTTTTTTTTGTTTTTAAAGATTTGTTTATTTTTATGGCAAAGTCAGATATACAGAGAGGAAGATCTTCCATCCAATGAGTCACTTCCCAAGTGACTGCAATGGCCAGTGTTGTGCCGATCTGAAGCCAGGAGCCAGGAACTTCCTCCAGGTCTCCCACGCGGGTGCAGGGTCCCAAGGCTTTGGGCTGTCCTTGACTGCTTTCCCAGGCCACAGGCAGGGAGCTGGATGGGAAGTGGAGCTGTGGGGATTACAACTGGCATCCATATGGGATCCCGGGCATGTTCAAGGCAAGGACTTTAGCTGCTAGGCCACCGTGCCGGGCCCACCATTTCTTTTTTATTCCTTCCTTTTTTTATGTCCCAAACTTCTGCTTCATAGAACTTAAATTCTATAATCACTCACTCTCTTGCAAATAGCTTTGACCTCTTTGCTTTTTTTCTTCTTTTCATGCTCACTTGACAAAAATGTAACCCCAGTCAAATTCAACAGTCTGCCTGAGTCTAGTGTAATGCGGCTGGAGAAAATACACAACAGGTTGAGAAGTCCTACTTCCAATGTCATGGCCACATACACTAGGTGGACCCTTAGTGCTTCAAGGTCATCCTGATAAGCATTCTTTGTCCATTCATTCTTCCACTTTCCTAGATAATTACTTAGTTCTTATTTTATCTTACACCTTGAACTTTCTTTTTTTTTAATATTGTTTTTATTTTGTCAATCTTTACATAGTTAATTTGGGCAAAGGGGTCAAGGGCTACAGGAAAGTGGGTAAGACTATTATTTCCATATTGTTTCCTTCATGTATCTGAGGTAGAGGGGGATACTGAGGGAGAAGCCCCACCCGGTTTCCCACCCACCCCAACTCCCGCATGTGGGGCATGCTCCGAGATGCTCGTTGAAGTGGTTTCAATAGGTCACCAGTTTTGAAATTGCTGCCAATCTTGCCTCTCCAAACACGATGAGGTTGTTGAACTTTCAAAAGAATATTTATTCTTAGCTGCTGGTTTACTTCCTAATTTCATAGAGAAAACAAAAACATTTGGAAGGGGCAAGTGTTTGATCTATAGGACATCAAGAAAGCTGGAAGACTGGAATTGACACCGTTGCAGCCAGAGGACCCAGCACCAATGCAAAGCTGACATGTGGTATCTGCTTATAGACTCTAACATGGCAACAGCCACTGATACTTCCCTGACAGGAATGATCAAGACATTCTCATGTAGCAGATTCTCTCCAGTAGGCAACATAGAATCCTGTTTACCTCATCATCTGGCTCATATTGCATTCAAGAACTGGAATAAGCTAGAAAATGCTGAATTGCCACAAATCTGTATTCTGCTTTTATTTGAACACAATGGTATATAATGCAGCATTATATGTAAATAAGTGTTTTAAAATGTCTGTAGAAGAGTATGAATTAAAATGAAGGAGATACTACCTGGGAGTTTGCTGACTGGCAAGGTGACTGAATTAAGTTTTGGTGTGCAAAACATTTTTAGTGGCTTTATTTTAGAAAAGGGTAAATAATAACTCATCCATAAGGATGTGTCAGAGTTTATAGACTAGACCCCTGGTAATGGATTCAACCTTTTCACAACAAATCAAAAGTATTGGTGCATGCTCACATGAATATACAGTGGTCATTACCTTAAATTTAAAACTCACTATAAGCAGCCAACACACAGAGCACAATGTGAAGGCTGCATTGTATCAGTGTGGTCTGTGGAGAATTTCACCATACGGTTTTTGCCTTGTTGAAATATAGGTTGCGGTTCAAAGCTAAAGGGATTACTTTTGAATAGTCATCACAGAGGTTGATTACATTCGTATATCATATTTAGCTGGACCCTGCAGGCTATTATTCCATTAGCTATGCTGGTCCTGCCAGCGTCAAAAAGTTGATCACCTAATGTTAAAAGACCACGCTTTCTGTTGACCTTATCAAAATGACTCAAAAGGTTTGCTAAAAAATAAAACTCTGATTATGTTTTATGAAACTGACTCAGAGTAACTACTCCATCTAAAAAATGCTTATGGGTGATCTTAGCACTTCGCCACTATTGATGATGAGAGGATATTTTGCTTTTGTATTTCAGCATATTCTGCTTCAAGTCATAGATTCAATTTTAGTAGTAACGGCAGTTTTTTTTCCTCACTAATTGCAATGTCTTAGAAGCTGACTTCTGAAAAAGGAAAAACAGAAATCTCTTCTTTCCTCATCATATATTTCAGTCAGATAACACTAATGCTGCAGATGGAAATTTAGCTACAATGGCATGCTCCGATATGGTTTTCCGAGGCTGCTTGTACAAGAGAGCAGAGATTTGTTTTGAAGGAACAAATATGTAAATTAACAATTTGCCATTGACACTTAATAATCAGAAAGTACCTTCCAATAAATAAATAAGAATGTTTAACAGTTAATTTGTCAAGCAGTGGTTGTGTAGTTTGATGTGATAAGTATTTTCATAAAACCTGAGTCCCGTTACCAAAACAAGGCATATTCAGATAAGCTTGGCCTTTTCCCATGTTCTTATGAATTAGCCCAAAATAAGTAGCAAAATTCCTCTTTGAAAATTATATTGACAATTATGGCTTTATTACTTGACACAACATATAAAAATTTCATTGGAAATGCGGTGATTTTGCAGCTATCTCAATTGACACAGGCTCATGGGCAACCTTTGGCACAGTCTTTCTTATAACTGATGGTGTGGCAAACGGCTGCTCAGAGAGAACAGAGCACAGGCTATCATCCTGGGACAAAGCACTCAATAGCACTGCTCTCTAATCAGCTGAGTTTTCCTGAAAGTGAGATTTCCTAGGATTTTTCATATTGCTTGATTTGAGCTTTTCCGGTTAATACTCAGAATAAAGAAGTATCATTTGTGAGGGAACAAATTACCCATCTCACTGTGACTGTACAGAGACTTGAATGAAGAGACAACGAAGAGATGAGGACACGGTTGAAGAACAATTGAGGGACGCAGAGGCACCCAGAAATGAGTAATAGAAGAGTGGTGCCATTTTGCATCTTTGGGCTGAGGTGTAATAGTGAGGGGATGGTGCCATTGCAGCCTGACCAAGAAAAGGGAGTATCCAGTAAGATCTAGAAGCAGCACAATTGCAGAGTAGCACAGCTGTCAGAACTGAGATGAAGTCAGG